TTTGGGCGTTCCCAAGCCCTGAATTAAGGCCAAAATGTAGGGATTTTCCCGAGTTTGTCGGGCCTTGAAAACCACCAAAATGGCAAATTTCGCGATTTCTGACCATTTTGCGCCTTCACAAACTCTGAATTCAGGCCAAGACATAGGGGTCTTCCCTAATGTTGTTTGTTTTTGACCATTTTGAGCTTACACAAGCCCAACTTTGCCCCCCAAATCGTGAATTTTCGTGATTTTTTCCATTTTGGGCCTTCACAAACCCTGAACTAAAGCCAAAACATAGAGATTTTCTCTAGTTTGGCGGCCTTGGAAACCACCAAAATGGCAAATTTTTGTGATTCTTGACCTTTTTACGCCTTCACAAAACCGGAATTAAGGCCAAAGCATAGTGTTATTTCCCTAGTTTGGCCTTCAAAAATAGCAATTGTTTGTGATTTTTGACCATTTTGGGTTTTCACAAAGCCAGAATTAAGGCCTGGGTTTTCGCTAGTTTGACAGCCATGGAAACACACCCATGTCTGGTGGCCTTGGAAACACCAAAAAGTGGCAAGTTTCAGTGATTGTTTTTGCCAAAAAAGCCGCCAGCTGTTTTTCGAAGGCTTGAAAAAAGCGGAAAAAGCCGGTGTTTTTCTGCAAAAAGCAAAACGAGAAACTCGGTCAAAACCCGGTCAACACTCCGGACCCAAACCCTACACAATTTCTATAAACCCTAAACCCTAAACCCTAAACCCTAAACCCTAAACCCTAAACCCTAAACCCTAAACCCTAAACCCTAAGCCCTAAACCCTAAACCCTAAACCCTAAACCTTGCCCAGGCGCAAATCCAACAGGATGACGAGTTGTCCTTGGCGCCGCATTTCGTGCTGCGCGCGGGTTGGCGCAAAGACGAGGAAGTTCCTCTTGCTTACTTTAAGAAGCCCAAATCTACTTTTTGTAGGGTTTAGGGTTTAGGGCTTTGGATTTAGGGTACCCAGAGGGTCGATTTGTAGCACTATTTTTGGAATTCGGTTTTGTGTGTGAGATTTATAGGCTTGATGGGTTCAGGTACGTACGCAGAAGCCATAGAAAATCTTTTCGTGGATGCCAAACAATTAGTCCGCGCCCGAAGCCCTAAAGCCCTAACTAAACTCTAGGGTTCAGGGTTTAGGGTTTAGGGTTTAGGGTTTAGGGTTTAGGGTTTAGGGTTTGGGGTGGTGATTTAGGGTTTCTCTTCAGCTGAACCCTAAATACTAAACGCAAGTCAGCTCATGTGCCGACCCCGGTTCACAACGGTAGGATGCAGACAGAGGGGTCGGGCGCAATGACAGCCCTCTTTCAGTTCGATGATGCTTCATTGATTCATACAAATACACAAGCTCAAAAAGGGTACCTTCATCATAGGGTGTAGGGGGTCAGGGCTTAGGGTTTAGGGTTTAGGGCTGGAAAATTGTACCTTCATCATGAGGTGCCGGGTTTAGGGGTAGCATGTTTACTGGGCTACGAAGGACCTTATCCCGTGCACATCCTTTTTCCGTAGGCTACCCGGTGAACCCTGGATCCTAACCCCAAACCCTAAACCCTAAACCCTAAACGCAAAACCCTAAAACCTAAACCCTAAACCCTAAACCCTAAACCCTAAACCTTAAACCCCTCGGTCTGAACTGAACAGCTCGCGCAAAGTAGCTCCAGGACCAGCTCCTTCAGCTCAAGAAGCGCTCACTTACCACAACCGGTGCCTGGGCTTTGAGGGGCTTTTCCAGGGGTTTAGGGTTTAGGGTTCAGGGTTTAGGGTCTAGGGTTTAGGGTTCAATTCTCAGTTTTGATTTCCCGAAATTCAGAAATTAATCCTACTGAAGATTGAAGATTTCTGGGGGACTCTTGCCCAGGAATCTTCAGTTTTATTCTTAGATGAAATCGAAGATTTCTCACCAGAGTCTCCCAGGAATCTTCAATCCTCAACCTTCTTATGAATCCACAAGAATTTAAGAATTCGTCAATATTCTTGAGGTTTCTTGAGAATGGAAGATTCCTGGGCAGCCCCCAGAAATCTTCAACCTTCAATCTTCAATTTTCGGGCTTACTTCTTAAGAATTCTTGAGAATTTTGAAGAATTCTTAAGATTTATGGGAAATGAAATCTGAGAATTGAAGATTCCTGGGCAAGAGTCCCCCCAGAAATCTTCAAGCTTCGATCTTCAATGTTCAGATCAATTCTTAAGAACTCTCTAGAATCATTAAGAAGTGTTGAGAGTTAACAAGGGCTGAAAAGGGCATGATAAACATGGAATTTTGGGGGGGTTACCATATATAAATATACACATACACATATATATGTATACATATATATCTACACACAGTAAAGTTAAAAAACAAAAAAAAAGAAGAAGACATCGTAGGGATTGGTGCCCCCTGCGCCCCGAAGCCTGGACCTCGAAGGTTCATAGTACCTGTCAACCAGTTATACCTGAGGGTTTAGGGTTTAGGGTTTAGGATTTAGGGTTTAGGGTTTAGGATTTAGGGTTTAGGGTTTAGGGTTTAGAACCGCACTTATGACCACATTGAGGGCACTTAAGGAGCTTATAAGTGGGTTGTAGGTACAGTTAGAATTGGGTAATCAGTACCCCTAAACCCTAAACCCTAAACCCCAAATAAGTACAGGTAGGATGGGTTAATAAGTGCCCTTAGACCCTGAACTTACTTCGCCTTTAGGTGAACTTTAAACTTTTTGGGCTTCCTTATTTAGTAGAAATATTAAAGTTTAACCTTTTTTCCCTAAACCCTAAACCCTAAACCCTAAACCCTAAACCCTAAACCCTAAACCCTAAACCGAGAAGTAAGTGAAGGACGACTCGATGTCGGTGGCGGCTCTGACTTACCTCGGAGGCACTGCTATCATCACACAGGCCGGACGGAAATCCTCACAGGGTTTAGGGTTTAGGGTTTAGGGTTTAGGGTTTAGGGTTTAGGGTTTAGGGTTTAGGGTGGTTTAGGGTTTAGTCGCTGTTCTGGGGTCTTGGCTCTTTTTTCAAGTTGTGCAGTGAGTACCGATTGTTCGCCTGCGACTGCAACGCTTGACGAGCTTTCTCGGACCTCATTCCAAAAGGGTCCTAAGTACCTATGTGGGGGACACTTCCCCAAACCATAATAGCAATTCCGAATATAGAAACCCTACTTTGTACCATGTAGGTACTTAGGACCCTTTGGGATTGTAGCAGACGGAAGGGGTTTAGGGTTTAGGGTTTAAAGTTTAGGGTTTAAAGTTTAGGGTTTAGGGTTTAGGGTTTAGGGTTTGCATGAAGCCTCTCTTGATTAAGCCTTGCATTGCACCCTGAAACCGTCTCAAGCCCTAAGCCTTCGGAGTCCCAGTGGTATCTGTTGCCCGTGTTTTTGGTTGTGTGTTCCTTATAAAGAAACCAACCCCAAAAAGGGTGCCCTTATTACAATATTGGGTTACTCGGCTACTAAGAAGCCCCTAACCCTAGCCCGAACCCCCCCCCCCCCCGCCCAAGACACTGTCCACTGTTCTGGTGTTCTTCCTGTTCAGGGGATTCCGTCTCACTATCCGCAGCCCCCAGCCTGTCTTTATTGGAGTGTAGGACTATAAAAGACTACAAGGGTTTAGGATCTAGGGTTTAGGCTTTAGGATGTAGGGTTTAGGGTTTAGGGTTCAGTAGGCTTGTGAGCCCTAGGCTTGCGAGCCTAAACAGCAGGAACAGAACAGGCCAGCTTCAGGAACCTCGGGAATTTTCCTCAACCCCAAACCCTAAAAAAGGCCCGATGCCCTTCAGGCAGGAGGTGCCTGTATATATAGGTATATAGAGGGTCATAAAATAGATATACACACACCTAATAATATATATATATATGCATATATATATATATTTATTTATTTATTTATTTAGGGGGACATCATTCATATGTATATATATATATACATATATATATATACACACACCTAGTTGCCTCATTCCCTACTCATCACCGGAAGTGACAGATACTGCCGAGCTGGAGAAGCACCCCTGCGTCCTCCGCCCATTCTCCAAGCTCCGCGTGCGCTGCTTGCCAGCGACAAGGAGTGTAGGGTTTAGGGTTTAGGGTGTAGGGTGTAGGGTGTAGGGTGTAGGGTGTAGGGTTAGGTTTAGGGTTTGGGGTATTATCATGAAAGCAGGCACCAGATTCCCGGAACTACTTAGGCCGAAGACGCTCTTTTTGTATTGAAGTATTGTGGGGGCTTTCCACCTTATTTCTCCGAGCCCGCCCCTTCAGCAGCACGAGATCTCCCACCCCAAAGCCCGAAATTTGCCCCAAATCCTAAATCCCCTGAAGCCTTAGAAACGCCCGAAGCCCCGCCTCCTCCTAACCCTAATCTCAGCACTCTGCGTTAAGGCCTCGGGAGATACCCTGCACCCTATGAGCCCTAAGCCCTACAACCCTAAACCTCGGACCCAGAGTAGGCCCTTACTCCTTTTTGACGGCTTAAGTTGCCTTGTAACCCCCTTTCAAACAAAATGACCACCCTCGTATTCCCAGGTTAGTCCTGAGTCTTGAAACCCTAAACCCTAAACCCTAAACCCTAAATCCTAAACCCTAAACCCTAAACCCTAAATCCTAAACCCTAAATCCTAAACCCTAAACCCATAGGCGTCTCGGCTTCAGGTGTTGGGTAGTTTCCCTTGTGGTCCCCTTCCCTTAACCGTTGACCCTGGTGCGGTACACTCGTACCCACACTGCGCCGGCCTTGGCTGCATTCATTGCCCCTGGCTTGGCTCCTTTTACTTCTTCTCTGGATATCCTTGGCTGTAACTGGTGTTACCCCTGGAGCTTCCACATCCTGCTCTTTTCGGCCTCGGCTGCAATTTTGCCCTTGGCCTGACAATCTTCTTCCTGGACTTCCTTGGCTGCAACTGTCGTTGCCCCTGGAACTTCCACAACCTGCTCTACACCGCCTCGGCTGCAATTTATATTGCCCTTGGCCTGTATATTGCGCTTGTTATTGGGAGTTGCGCCCCACTGAATAGCAGTTTCATGCACTGCCGGCACATTCTCTGCGCTGTTTTCCTCCTCGCGATCTTTGACCGCTGCCCCGAGATCTGCAATCATACCTGCTTTTCGTCGGAGCCAGGAATCGGCAGCTCACAGACGAGCACGCAGACAGAGAACAGCAGCCAGGACTCTGTTGCGCACTTTTCTCACAAGACCGGACTCCGTCGAGACGGCCCTTGTCTTGAGAGCTATAAGAAGACTGGAATCACATCATTCCAAGAGTACACTGCCAAGCAAAGCCAAGCGACTGCTGGGCAGGCATCAACACGGAGAAGCAATGGCATCGTGGTGGTGCGAAAGCTGCCGAAAGTACTGCAAAGCTTCGGCACAGTTCTGCTCATCCTGTGGAACCAGGTGGGACCAGACCAGCGCTTCGACATACACCACCAAGCATCCGGAGGCACCCTGGAACAACAGCCGACGTGGACCGCAATCGCCAAGACGCAGGCAGTCTCCCAGGAGGCTCAACCCGACCAATCAGGCTGCACCAGCGGACAAAGCCGAACGTCCGAAAGGCAAAGGCAAGGGCAAGGCCAAAGACAAGCCGGCCCAGACCAAGACGGTGGCGACGGACCGAATGGCGTCGTTGCCACCTCCACCGCAGCCACCCACACTGACTACGCCGCCACCGAGCACTACCACGGAGCTGGCGTCTGGAAGTACAGTGCCTCCCCCCTTCACAGATCTAATGTCTATGCTGATGAAGACGAGGGACGACCTGCCACCAGATGTGCAGGCAGCGCTGGATGCACACGCGGACTTCCAGCACAAGACCTCGGCGAAGAACCTGCACAAGGTTGTGGCACAGCAGGCCGCAGCCAAACGCGGGCTTGCCGATGTTCGCCGCAGCAGGACGGCCTTTATGTCAGAGTGGATCCAATACCTGGGGGCTCTCGCAGACCTCCTACAGAGCCAGGTCAACGAAAAGAACAAGACACTGGCAGAACTCAAGGAAACCGAGGACAAATGGACCACGCAGCTCTCGACAGCCACCAAATCTCTGGCGATGGCTTCCAAGACAGACGGAACAGTCATCGAGGTGGACGACGAGGCGATGGAAGCGGAAGTCGCCGAGGTAGCAGAGGACGAGGCCAAACAGAAGGAGGCCGCGGCCCGCACGGAGGCTCAGGAGGCACGGTTAGCCGAACAGCTACATCATGCCAAAAGGGCCGCACAGGAGGAGCTGGACACCATCCAAGATCGGGAACGCACTCCACGCCGATTGCGAACGGAGGAGCCGGCAGCAGGAAAGAGTGTTGCCAAGTCAGCTGCACCAGCCACTGGTGCTGCTACGGCGGGGGATTTGCCCCCTCCATAGGCCCATCATTGAGCCGGACGGGACATGATGGGCAGGAAGCCCCGAGGACCAATGTGGTACACAGCATCCTTGGTGAGGCAGATTTTGTCAGCCGTTTCATGGGGCCTGTTTTGGGCATCTGTTTGGCTGCAGAGATCAGATGTGATGACATCCCGTATCTGTCGCGAAACCCTTTTGCGATGTGCGACCCACGACTCGTACAACATCAGGGCATCGAGGACAGGACCATGGGGATTGCAGAAGAGTTGGATGGTTGGCTGCCAGCTTCAGCAGTTGTGACGAACGACCACCAATGCCAGGACGACTCTCTTTGGACCAATGCACCATGGGAGGTTGTATATAGTACATGGTCTTCGGCTTTCAAAAAGCAAGGACCACGACTGAAACAGGTTGTTTCCTTTTCCTCTGAGGACGGCCCATTTTCCATTGTACAGCTTTTTCGGAGGGCAACATGTGATCTGGCCAAGCTGCATAGAGCCTTTTTGCATGCCATTAGCACGCATGCCATTCACCAGCACGCCCCGCCGAGACATGAGACTCATGGTGACTCCCTGGTAGGGATTCCATGCAGTTTGCAGGATTGCGATGCAGGCATGCACAGGACGCCTCCCCCCTTGCCACACACACAGCCCGTGGCACCTATCAGTCAACCCGATGAAGATGGCACCACAGTTCAGGCGCCGGGCACTTTCCCAGACTGGCTTCCAGCCAGCTCCGCACCCTCCAGGCAGGAGATCGCTCAGGCGCATGACGGATGCCCGACGGTTGCCATATCTCTGCCTGTGCCGTCAAGTGACGTTGAGGCCTACATTAAAGGGCTCGGCGAGCAGAACGAATATGCCTTTTTTGACACCGTTGATCACTATAGGAGACGTCAGTTGCTCGAGGGTTGGGGTATTAGGGAGATTCTCGCAGATGCCATTGGACACTCCACTGCACAGCCCATTACGGCAGCTTCTATACTCCAACCTGCACTGCCTGACCTCCCACCAATCCAGATCGTTCTGGATTCTGCCAACCTGCCTCCGCAGTGGAAGACGGTGCCCATTGACCTGAGAAGGACAGGGTTCCGCATTTGCACCATTGGAGTACCTCAGGACTCATCGGCCTTTGAGATCGCTTTCAGGGCTTCACAAAAGTGCAGAACGCCGCCGAGGCTTTCCAATTACGTTGCTAGATCATACTGGGAGTTCGCACCACCTGGCACAGTGGTTTTCGATCCCTTTCAGCCGGAGGTGTTACGGAGAGGCCCAGTGATCCTTTGCTCGCCTAGACCAGGGTCCCCGTCGCAGTCAGAAGCGACGCCTAGCTCCGGCAGCTCCACCACAGCTGCGTCAGAGACCTCTTCCACCTCTGACCAGCATTTCGCGGAGACGAGCGTGCATCTCCCGACGCATGACGAAGATTTCACTGTTGCTTTCCATGCGGTCGGACACCGGCCATGGACACACTCCTTCTCACGGCTTGCTACGCCAGAGCAGCTGGCACGAGCGGCAGCTCTGCACATGCAGTCAATCACTGGTGAGCCTGGCTGGAGGACGCAATTCTTATGGAGACAGCCCATTGTCAGAGACATAGACTTGCGTTGCTTGCTCACGCCAATGCAAGGTCCGGCGGCCACGGGTGGGATTTTCCTTGCTGATTTTAGAAGGATCTTTGGCCCGCAACTGCGCAATCTAGCTGCATTGCCTGTCACTCCTAACACCCCCCATACCGCCGACAACATGTGCACTGCTGCCTCCAGATTGCTGCAGGAGTGGGCAATTCACCAACCCGACTTTGACTTCGTTGTCACCACGGCAAGAAGAGGAGCCCTTCTCGTGCCTGCTTGTGAGGAGCTATGTGCAGTCACAGAAACTGTGAGTGTGGTGCAACAATTGCCAGGTCTTAGGCAGCACATGCTCTCTCACAGCCCACTTGCAAGAGCACCAAGAGGCTCTGTCACAAGGGACACCGAGAACCTCGACACCACCAGCACCACCAGCTCCACGACGACCATCGCACAGGAAGAGATGCCCCATCATGTGCTCCCGTTGCCACCGCGCAACCCTCTTCTAGTCAGATTAGGCATCGCGGGTTTCGGGGTCTTCACTGTCGAGTTTCAGGGGTATCCTTCTGCTGTTGACATACTCGCCCGAACATGGGCAGCCGCCCTACAGGAAGGCCCATTGCCGACTGGCCTTCACATCCGGCTTGCGCCATGTCAACCACAGCCATGGGTCTCGCACAGGGAGCTGCTAATCTTTGCGCACGCTCCGGCACATCAGAGCAGCCATGTTTTCATCTGGCTTGACATGCGTCCTGGCGGATTGCTCTCCTTCCGACGGGTTCCCCAAGAAGCCACCCCACAAGACATCATTGCGGACATCCCAGGCTGCCGCTGTTTGTTCCGTAACGGTGCCAGATGGACAGGAGACTCACCCCTCCGAGATGGGGACCACATCGCCAGTTCTCCCGTCCCGCAAGCCCCTGACGCCAGGTCGAGTGACTTCTTTGTACAGCGCATTGCAGGTTTAGGAGCCTTCCTGTTGCCTTTGGAAGTCCCGGAGACGCTTTGTTTTGAGTCCACACGCAGCTTCGAACTTGACCAGGACATTGCACGTCATGAGTGGCAGACCGCCATTTCACTTCGCGCGCGCGCGCACTTGGATTCAGCACAGAGAGTAATTCGGGGCACTTCATCATAATAGGCCAACACCTGCAGGCTGTCGGAGCTTCTGACCTGCCCTCGGCACCAATGCCCCACCAGATAGAAGCTGTTGCTTCTTGGGCAAGGACTTGGATTTTTCCAAGAATTGGACCTTTCGCACTGCACGACACAGAGGGCACCATAGGAGGCCGAAGACTTTATGTCATCACACCTCTGGACCTTGATTGCACCGCAGAGTACATCAGGATCCATGTGTCAGGAGACGCTCCCATGGCTTTCCGTGTGCCCCACAGAGCTGCGCCCGGGCAGCTTGCGCGCATTGCTCCAATCTCGGATGCGCTCAACACACCAGTGCCAGGCAGGCCTTGGTACGGCTCCCTTTTCCCTTCTTCAGAATACCACCCGGCTGTTGAAGTGCTTGAGTCTACGACACCTGTTCAGACACTGCCATGGCATAGCGCCCTGCGACATACTGAGCCACCCGTGGCATTGGCGCCAAGATGGCGCAGACGCCCCCCTAGACTGATTGTCGCAGATGCACTCCGCACTTCACAGGGGGAACTGCAGGGTAACATGTTGCTGTCAAGGGCGACAGCCGAGGCCTCAAGCTCGACAGGGGAGTTGCACCTTATGGACACTGTGAGTGTCTACCACGCTCCTGATGATCTGAGCTCAGGCACAACCTTTACATCCACTGCCGTTTTCACTCTGAGGGGGGACCTCACCCTCACGCTTGTTGTTGGCAGATCCCTCGCATCCTCGCCAGTGCAGGAGATCACTCCTAGTGGCCTGGCACAGACGCTTGCAAATCTCATTCTTGCGCATGTTGAGAGGCAACAGGCCCCTCATGCCGGTTGCATCCGCATGTTGCAAGCGCAGCCCAGGCACAACGAGAGGCATCGAGAGCTTGTCCTGATATGGATGGATTATGGCATGCGTTTGAGCATCATCGCCGATTTGAGGCCAATAGGTGGAGGCATGAGGCAGATAGAGGTTGACTGCACAGACTCCCCAGGAGACATCCTTGGTGCCAGCATTATCACGCCCAGGCGACACGTGTACATCAATGGCATACCTGCTAGCCAGTTCACAGGCATATGGCAGGATGGTGACTACATGCTCGTTTGTGAAGAGCGCCAGCTCTTAACTGGCCTACCAAGAGCTGCCTTCTTTAGGACTTGGCACGCAACGAGCCTGCTGGCTTTCGATCTTCCCCTGCTAGACCTGCAGGATCTCCCTCGAGACCGTGCACAAGCCTTTTCTGAAATCCATCAGACCGTTGAAGAGGCCTTTGACATTCGCCACACCTTGCTGGGGTTCCATCTGCCCAACCCACAGTTGGCCATCGTTCACAACAGATGCAGGGGGGATATCATGCTGATGGTCCCATGTGGGATGCCGGCATCCGTGGCACAAGTTGTTGAAGCCATCGCATTGCTCCCTGATTGGCAACAGATGCACGATGTTGTGGACACACAAACTATGGCAGGGGATATCTCGATCTTCCTAGCACGGGATGACTTCGAACGAAGGCAGACATGGCATTTAGTCCCCGTGCCGGGACTCCTACAGCTGCACTTTGTCTGGCCAGTGCAGCCAGAGTCAGTTGCAAACACTGCGCAGCTTCTCGCGCCTGCGGGACTCACTGTCAGCCCACACGCCCTCATCGAACATGGGCATGTACATCATTTCCACGCAGCAGAGCAGAGGACAGGCACTAGCTTGGTGCAACTCGACAGTCGTATCTCACGACTGAGTAGGACAGCCCCCTGCGAGGCCCTGAAGACCGCCGCCCCGGCTGCAAGACTCCAGCTCTGCCTGGAAGAGTTCCCCAACCATGCGCAACCAGATGAGGACAATCGGAGGAAAGGTCTAACGCTCTCTCAGCATCCTGGCGAGGACATTGACTTCCTTGCACTGCGGCCCGTCCTAGGGTGCAGAATAGACAGGTTGCGAGTCGATAGAACTCCAGACTTAGAGATCCTCCCTGCAGAATTTCGTGAGGTCACAGATCGCATCTTTTTGTCCATTGCCAGGACAATGCCCACCAGGGTATTCCACACCCCGGAGTCAAGATACACAGTCTTCGATGCAGTGTATCAAGTCCGTGTTCGCACCCACTACCCTGAAGAGCGCCTAGAATGGCTGCTGGCTGACCTGTTGAATGCCACGCCAAGACCCGTACGCACCGTGCAGCTCCTACAGGACACTGTTGAGGGCTTCCCCACGCCGCAGTTTGTCCTAACCTTTCAAGACGTGCCATGGACTCACTATGCAGTGCCGGTCGATGCCAGAGCCATGTCCCTAGGGGTTTGCACATGCAACTTTCAGCCCATGCCCACATGGACAATGCTTAGTTCCATTCTTCAGGGAGCAGCCCAAAACCATCACAGGTGCAGAGGTATCAGCGCACGCATTCAGGCTGAGCGCAGGGACCATAGGCTCATTGTGCGCACTGCGGCCGGACCGGAACAGGATCCGGTAGCCACACCCTTGCCAATTTGGCAAGTCCTGCGATTAAGCGCAAGGCCCCCTACACCTCCAGTACCGGAGGACGACCACGCCGATCCAGGTACAGAGGCTGAAGGAGGGGTGCACCTTGAGATGGCGCAAGCAGAGACACGCACAGACCCACATGCCGCCACTGCTACCATGCGCGTAGATACGAGTGCTAGCAGTGGGTTCACGGGCTCCATACCTACCCCCATGGGAAGACGATATCTCGGCACAAATGTTCAGGAGTCCCATAAGGCTCCCCCTGGGGACCACACACCCACACAACTTGTGCTGGATAAGCTAATCCCATGCGTTCTGGAACGGCAACTTAACTTTGGGGTCTGTAAGGGGATGTGGCAAGATTTTTGCGACATGCTTGGGCCCGGACAGTTGCACAAGACGCTTCCTGAGGGCCTCAAGCTTCACAAAGCGGCTGCAGTCCTTTTCGACCATGCCATCAAGCTTCAACTGCATGACGAGCCGAGGCACATTGTCTGCTTTACGGACGGGTCTTTCCGGGAGTCGGATAAAGCCCTTGCATGGGCTGCAGCCTTTTTTGCGGTCACTGACTCCGGACAACTGGCGTGGATGGGCTACAGGATTGGCAGGCTCTCAGCACCCGCCGCCGCGGCATGGGGCCATTCTGTATTCCCTGCAGAAGTCTTTGCTTTCACTGTTGCCACCGCTTTGCTCGCCTCTTCGGGCGCCCCTTCTGGCACCGTGTGCTTTGACTCCACAGCTGCAGAGGGCGTAGCAATGGCCACTCATGTCCCCCAATGTGACAACACCATCACGAAGGCGGCCAGGGCCTGCACCCTACTGTGTCATTTCCGAGGATGCAATCTCAGCACGACGCACTGCCGTAGCCATACGGGTATACCGGGCAACGAGCTCGCTGACTCACTTGCCTCTTGGGCTGTCGCGCTACCGGAATCGACCACCTTACTCCCCTTGGAGATCTTCTTGCAACATCCCGAAATCGAGCGACTTTGGTTGCTCCATTCTCCAAAGGGCATGTTTCCCACACAGGATGACATAGGGATCTCTGCTCCTTGTCCATACAACCCGACGCCTTGTTTTCAGGCCGCATCGCCAGCTGCTCTTACTGGATGCACGGAACGCCTGACCGTGCAGGCTTGTGAGGTCCGACTTTGTCTGGCCACCTACAACACACTTTCTCTTAAGACATGCCTGCAGCAACAAGCGCTCCTGCACCTCTTTCGGCGAGACGGCCGGCAAGCCATCGGCCTCCAGGAGACCAGGACTGCGCCTGGGCATGTCAGCAGCAAGGACGGTTTCCTGATATATGCCTCCCACGCCGTTGACGGACAAGATGGATGCCAGCTGTGGATAGACACGCAAGCCGACCTCGCACGGGATGCTGACAAGACACTTAGGTTTGCCCCAAATACCTTTTCGATCAAGACCAAGCTGCCAGACTTGCTAGTGGTTTTTGGGGATGCACCACCCCTGCAATTTGCCTTCATTGTGGGGCACGGACCCACGAGCACCAAACCACAGAAGGACATAAGACAGTGGTGGCATCGATTGCAGCTGATCCTCAAACAGTTGCCCCCTGGCAGAATCCCCCTCCTCATGCTCGATGCCAATGCCCATTTCGAGCACCAAGGCAAAGGCACATCAGACAAGCAGCAATCCGCCAACACGGCAGCGGAGTGCTTGGATGGGCTCTGCCGAACACACCAATTGTGCCACACGGGAACTTGTGCTTCGTCAGGAGCACCCTTAGTCACGTGGATGTCACCATCGGGTCAGGCCCATTGCCTAGACTACGTTGCCTACCCAGATACATGGGGGCCAGCTGCAAAGATACACCAGCCTAGATCCTTCGACGACCTGTTTGCAGGCCTTGACCACCAGCCTGTCTACTCCACGCTGCACGCTAACATGGATATAGCATGCAAAAAACCAGCAACTTCCTGGCGTGCGCTGTTGACTTCAGAAGAAGGACGACAGACTATCACGCATGCGTGGCAGACCATGCCACACATTCCTTGGGAAACGCCCATCGACGACCACGTTGCCATCGTCAACCAACACCTGATGGCTTGCAGGGACACCGCGCTCGCAGCCAAGCCGGCACCGCGGGCACCGTTTCTCTCGAGTGATACATGGGCACTACTCAGACACCAGCGACGGCTTCGCAGGCTGTCGGGCAGGCTTAAGGCGGTCCACAGGCGGCAATTCCTTTTCGCCCTTTTCCAGACATGGTCGAATGGCATATCTGAGCAGAAGGCTGCCAGGGTGGCAAGGTGCGCACATCGGGCTCACAACCGCATTGCGCAGATCGCTGCGCTACTGCACAGGAGCAGGAAACACCTGCGCTGGAACACCGCCAAGGACAAGGCGGAGTTCTGTCGAGCCATGTTCCGCCAAGCCAGATCCAATGCAGAGCTACCGAAGCTCATGCGCACCCTCCTTAGGACAGGGCGGAAGTACAAGGCTCCGCCATTACTGCCCACCTTGCCCACTGCATCAGGCGAAGGCACCCAAGAACGTGGAGATTTCCTGCGCGTCCTG